ATTCGTTGTTCAGCAGTTTGGTCATGTTTACTTGCCAGAATGCAAGCGCCGGCCATGGTGATGGTGTGGGCCGCCATAACAGCCGATGGTCGCTCTCCGCTCGTATTAATCGACCGTTTCATCAAAATAAATGCCGAATATTATTGCGAAAAAATTCTGGAGGGTGTATTAAAGCCTTGGGCACGCTAACATTTTGGCCGCAGACCTTGGACATTCCAGCAGGACTCAACACCATCACACTCAGCACACACGCCATCCAAGAATGGTTCCTCGATTCATTTCCAGCGTACAGTGGACACCAAAATCTCCGTATACCAATCCGTTGGACTATTGTGTCTGGAGTATTTTGGAAAGCAAGGTTGGCACTAAAAAATACCAAAATGCCGATCATCTCAAGTAATCGCTTCGTCGGGAATGGGCCAATATACCGTAGAGCAACATTCAGGCAGTGTGTGATGGTTTCATTGGCCGTTTGAAGGCTATAATTCGTGCCAAAGGTGACCAATTCGAACAAATCTGAACTTTTTCTAAAATTTGATGTTATTACTTTTTTTTCATCCAAAAAAATAAAATTTTGCTTTTATTGAATAAAATTAAAAAAAAAAATGTGAAAATTATGGCGTTTGACTTTGTTGCATTTTTTTTTATCTCACACTGTGTACAATGTTCCACCACAGAAGCTACAAATATCGAATTCTAAACAAATCCGTTAGAAAATGTGACTTAAATCGTAAAATTTTTGAGTATGAGTCATTAACGTTTAATCGGTACTATAATAAAACGTGGACCTAAATAGATAACAGTTTGTCGCAAGAGGTCTCATTACAAACTCTAAATATCAAAATAATATCATCACCTCGTTTACAATACCAATTTTGAATATTTGTGGACGATTAGTAAGACACTTACCTCCTTTAAATCCTGTAAAGAAAAAGAAAAACAAGAACATTTAGTTGGAATGATTTCTATTTATAATTACAAGTACTTACCTTTCTTTCGCAATTTAAAAATTGACAGCTTATGATGATACATTAAACTACAGATGGTTTCCTTATCCAAGCGAACACGAAATATGAAATCATACTTTCAACTACTTTCTCATTTAATATTCTTGTCCGAATTTATTTAATTTTATGTTGGATCCAATTGCAGTTTAGTTTCAATGAAGATCATTCTATTTTTATGTTTGTTTTCGATCACAACTATACAGAATCATGAAGTCCAGAACAACAATAGGCATTAATGATCATGATTTATCTTTGCGGACTTTATAGTTTTTGGTGTTGAAGTTTGTTGTGACTTCATTAAGATTTTTGATTGGCCTTCAGATAGATTTTTGATTGGACTTCAAGCCAAAATTCCATTCGAATTGGTATTTATACCATCAATTAGAAGGTTTCAATTCTAATGAGAGTCATTTTTCTTTTTGAACACATTTATAGAACACGAAATAGAATTAGAACACGAAATAAACGCGACACCACGGAAATAACCGAACACAAAATTGACACAAATATATTATTTCGACCGGACTGCAAAGTTCGCGAATATTTTGAGATTTGTGAACGTTTTGTTTGTTTTTTTTTTTTTTTTCTTATTTGAAGCTTGTAATTTTTTTGTTTAGCAGATTGTTGAGACGTCACATATGCTTTTGAGAAGGCTCCAATATTTGTCAGTTCAGCTGAAGTTCAACCATGAATTCTATGTTGATTGATCCAATTGGATTCTGATAAATTTTTGCGTGAACTTTAAAAGATGACTGGACACTTATTCCCCGAAGACTTTTTCATGCACAAGGCGATAGCTCTTGAAAGATAATGACTGGAATTCACATCATTGTTTGTATTTATCAGGAGTGTTTAATGGCCGTTTGTTGGTTTCAACCATTGTAGTCCTGCTCCTAAATCAAAGCAGAAACCAAATTAGTTCTTCATGCAAACCGAACAATTAAGGTTAGTCTAATGAACTTACCTTCCTTTTCTGAGTTTCATCCAGATTTGATCAGTTTCTCCACTTCATATTGCATATTTTTAGTCTAATAGTGTTATACCAAGCAACGTTGAACGAACGCGACACCACGAAAATAACCGAACAAAAAAACGACCATAAGGGAATATCTCGAAATATCCAATTGGATTCGGATTCATCTTATTCATGGACTTTAAACGATGACTTGACAACAATCCAATGGAGCCTTTTTGATACACAAGGAAATTGCGATTTAGTTCATATTTATTAGAGACTGTTACTGATTGTTTGTTGGTTTCAACCATTGTAGTCCAGCTCCTAAAGCAAATAAGAAACAAAATTAGTTTTTCAAGTCAACTGGACAAATTTAGGTTAGGTGTATAAAATTACCTTCTTACTTGGTTTTTGTCTAAATTTCATCACTTTCATTGCTGCATTTTTCAGGCACCCGCACGCGACTTCGAACGACGATATAAACGCGACACCACGGAAATAACCGAACACCAAATAGGCACACATTTAATATTTCGACACGACCGTGAAGGAACTTCAATTTTAAAACGTTTTTGCAGAGATTGGACTTAGAACTGTTTATAACCAACATCAGTTAGTTTGCTGTCATAAGGTTTACGTATTCCTTCTGTAGAAGAACGCCTTTTCCTGCGCCAACTCGCTTTCTTAACCGAGTCCACATGAATTTGTAGGATTTTGTGGCCATTATATTGTGATATTCAATCCACAACCCATTGTGGCTAATTGCAGTTCATTCATAGTCAATCCGTTTTCTTTTTTTTCATCTTTACAACCGATTTTTTGTGTCTTCTCCGGTAAATATAAAAATTCACTTCATTTCTTAACCGACCGTTTCCGTTTTTTTACATTTAAACCCGCCAAAATTTCACAATCAACTAACGAACAGAAGCCAACATCAGCTGTTTTCATTTCCAATTGCCATACATTTGCGTTACCGCCGCTACTAATCGATAATAATAATTCACAATAGTGAACAAAATTGGCGCCGTCGTTAATTTTGACCGGCTTTGTGACAAATATGTTGCTGGTTTTCTTCGTGTCTCTTTCGTAAACAGAAGATACGGCTCTTATTCTTTTCTTTAAATTCGTAAACAAAATAAATAGTGTCTGGCTGGTCATTTTGTTTTTTTTTTTTTTAAGTCGATAGGTCAGGCACGGCATTTCTGTGAAATGTATTTTCCAATTATCATTAGAGCTTTCTTATAATATATTTACATTAGAGTATTTGCCGGGTTAACCTCCTCGGTGGAAACTTCGATGTTATTTTGGGTAAAAATGACTGCATGTGCAGTTTTGACTAAATCGGCTAATCTCTACAAGGGTTACCAGAAAGACTGATGGAACACATAGTTATATCGACGAAACCATTATTTCTATGGGTCACATTTTGGATGAATCAATGAATATATATCCTCTGAAGGCTTAAGGCTATGGTTTTTCACGGCATTTCCAACATGACTCAGCACGCGACTCCCAAAAATGGTTACAAAATGAGGTTCCTCGCTTCATTTCCAGCGCACAATTGCCACCAAAATCTCCGGATACCAATCAGTTGGAATATTGTGTCTGGAGTAAATACCAAAGTGTCGATCACCTCAAGCAAGCGCTTCGCCGGGAATGGGTCAAAATACCGCAGAGTAACATTCGGGCAGCGTGTGACGATTTCATTCGCCGTTTGAAGACCATAATTCGTGCCAAAGTTGACCAATTCGAATAAATCTAAACTTATTCTGAAATTTGATGCTATGTCCGAAATTTTTTGCTTTCATTCAATAAACTTAAAAAAAATGTAAAAAATCGCACCCTGTAATACTTAGCTCTGGTACAAAATGTGAGGGTATGAGAAGTTGGACTTACATCAAGATATTGACTTAAGTCGAGTTCATTTTACCTTTAATTCCCTTCTAAACAATCCCCAACTCCAAATTTTAAGATTTCCCCTTTCTCCCTTTTTGGCTAATAAATTTACTTTTCTAATCATTTTTTTATAAATACATAAAAATTTTGAAAAAATCCCGCTTCTGAAAATATGCCATATAGGAGAATTTTTCGAAAATATTGGTTCATGAATAGGCAGATTTTAACAATTTAACTACCCACTTATTTCTTTTTCATTTTATTTCCACCTGCACCTTTTTTTTACATGGAATGATCAGTCACTGCCAAAACATTTTCGAAAAATACAATACAAAAAATAATTTACTTTTATTTAATATGGCGTTTCCACTGCACTTGATTCGCTCTCTATTCGTTGTTTGACCCTTAACTATGAAAAAACTACTTAATTCTTCACACAAAATTTCCTGAGCGAACAATCATAGTTGTGTTCCAGAACCTGCAAATTAGTACTAATTAGCACTAATTCTACTACAACGCGTTCCCATACTCCAAAAACTAGCAAAACTTGCAGCTCTCTCGAGAAAAAAATGGCGCTGAGTGGTGCACATTTCTGCTTGTTTTAGCTACATGAATTTGGCTGAGCAGAAATGTGCATATTGTAAATTTGACATTTAATTGGCATGGCTAACAAGGTTGAAAAATGTATTGATACATTTCAATAAAGAAAATGATCAACTTGAAAACTAAAGGAAAAACTAATATTTGTCGTGCAAAAAACAAAGAGAGAAAATATGGAGCAACTGATGTATTCACTTTTGGATGATTCCAGCAGTGAAGAGGACTGGCTGAATGAGGAATCAGATTATTAATTATTATTATAAATTATTAATTTTAACTTATCGTCTTCAATATTCATGTTTTTAATTTGTTGGCGCTCTTTTCAGTAAGGTTTCACAAGTCCCATTTAGGCTGTTTACTTTTGGAATTTTGAATTTTGACATTTTATCGCATTTCTGCTAATTTTCCGTTCCCTTATTTTTTGAGCAAACCTAAATAAGAATGACATTTCGAACTGTTCTCTCTTCTGCTAGTTTTACTACTAAAAAAGTACTGGAACACAACTCATATTTGTACATTGTTCAAATCAAATCACTCTCAGAACAACGAAAAAATATGTCCCATCCCTAACAAATGAGAGCATTTATCGAAAAAATTAATTATGACATTTAAAAATTGAAAATAGAAAAATTTAATGAAATTTTGAAAAATTTTGGGAAGACTGAAATTTATGAATGAAAACTACAATGTAGAATAGCGTATGTACATTCAAACGAAAGTAAATTTTGTTTTCTCTCTCATCCGAGGTACGCATTTTGTCCACGAGTTGAAATTACCACAGAAAACAGGAAACAAAAGAGGCAATATTTTTAAAATGTTTGTATCGGCAGAAAAAATGTTTGACAAGTGTCTCTCCAGCAGAATTTAAAAATAGAAAAATACAAAAATATGTTCAAAATGTCAACATTTACACAAAAAGTTGGAAACGTGAATGAATATTATAAAATTAATGTTTTAATAAATCTTTGGGAGAAAAATAATCATTTCTTCTATCCATATTAGTGAGAATTTAATGTATTTTAGTATAAATTCCCATTAAAATCAACAAACAAAATTTTGAAAAAAAGGAATTATTTTACTATGAATTACGAATCGTGCCGTATGAACGGGTTAATTCGTGTACCTAATTCTGAGAGCGAACAACGTTGTTCGGTTTCCAATGGAAACATGCTATAAATAGTATATAAGTTATTCATTCCACTTTTTAAGAGTTCACATAATTAGGAAATAATTTCGACATCAATTCCGGCTGGAATAATTTATTGACTTTCGTCAATATCAAATCGATTATTGTATAGTTCGTGTAACAGAATCAAAAGCTTCATTTTTATGATCGCTGACATTGGGTCTTGCTTCATAACTGCATATAGTTACACCATGATGATGCGCCTCACTAAATTCTCCACGAAGGCCTATGGAAAAAATATATTGAATTATTTTTTCTTATTAGAAATAAATATAAAACTTACCAATATAATAGATTTTTGTATTATCATCACCAAAATTGGAAGCGAAGTGTATGGACAGGTGGTGTACTGAGGAAAATGTTACAACTCTGTAAGAAAAAGAGGACAAGTTTGAATTATAGCAAGTTCATAAAATTTCCAAAGGAATCCCATTTCTGCAACTTCAAAATTCCATAGATTTTCAAGGAGCCTTGCAAAAGTAAGATAAGAATGCGACTTTTTCACCATTGTTTTTTTTTAATTCAAAGGAAATAGTTCGAAATAACATGAACCCATGATTCAAATACTTCTTTTGCATTAAACATTTTGCTGGGTACTTACTTTGGAGAATACTCAACTTCACCCCGACAATCTCGTGTCAATTCGAATTCCTGATCCGCTTTAGCTTGGGCATCATCAAATGTCATTTTTTCACGATTTTTGAAACTAGAAAGGATATAACAAAACAAATATAAATACTCTATTTATCAAACTCATATTTAATGACAATTTTTAAGGGTTTAAGGCCATAAGTTAGATTGGTTTCAAAGACGTCGATACCACAAAAATTTAGTTTTATAACAATAGATTGCAAAAAAGTGGATCGTCCTTACTTACAGCCTCATCTTATTGGGATGTGAATCATCATTGGCTCCAGCCACAATAATACCCTTCAGCTTAATGTTGCCGGTAAAGGGTATGTTGAACAGTAGCTCCTCATCACAATCACTTTTGACAAACTGCAAATATGAAAACAATATGTCTATTATTTTTCAATACGATATTCAAAATTGCAATGTTTACCTTTGTCACATCCAAACGTTCCTCGTAGGATTTGAAAACTTTTTTGCCATCACCATCACTTTCCTCATTTAGGCATTCCAAATTTTCCATATCAATTTTTTGATATAGACTATATTCAATACCCATTTCAAGGGCATGATCGACATCGGTGGCTTCGTGGCCACATCCATGACCATGGTTATGAGAATGACCGGACATTTTGAGTTGAGTCTTTCCAGAACGAGCAAGTTCAATAGTACTATTCACCAAAAGAGACCGTGAGAGCTAGTTCTAGTTGTTTCAGTCATTTGGTGCATTCAATGCCAGGCATGGGAATATTTCATTAGAAAGATTTAAAAGTTTTGGAAATTGTCGAATATTTTCTTGACATCGGAAAAACATATTCTTTTCTATCCGGATATTTGAACCAAATATACTTTTACCGTATCTGCAGGAATATAAATGAATATATGCATATTAAAGCTTATGAAAGTATTTTTCTAACAGGTGGTCACATGTCTTATGAAAGCAAAACATTCTCGTTATCGTATTTTACAAAATATATGTTAAATTATAGCAGTCAATATGTTTCCCGAATCCAGTAATATGAGTCGAATGTTTTTTTAAGTTTGATACTTTTTTAAGTAGCCAGCTTCTGCCTTGACTACAGTATGGCCAACGCCGGCTACGCATACCAAAGTGTTTCTAAATTTTATAATTTAATAGTTACCAGATGGTTCTTGAGATATCTTCCTGTGGGGCTAAGCTGGCTACGCGAACCTAAGGGTGCAAGTACATAAAAGGCTTGAAGTCAAGGCTAGACATATTAATGTCGAGTTATAATGGATAACGACGGCAGGATTTTAGCGCTCTGACTTTTTTTCTCTGGAATATACCCAGGGCCGGCTACGTACAAATTTACCTAATAAGAACTTAGTCAAAAATGAACAAATTCTGATAAAAACTGTGCCTCATCTCTTCGAAATACTAAATATTAGACAATAATGCCGATTAGAAACCTAGAATATCAAATTACAACTGATTTGTTGAAAATGAACCGGAACCCTAAAATATATTTCCAAACGGTATGTACCGTTGAACGGGCCGTTGATTGGTACTTTTAAGTTTTGCCTTTACGTTACAAATATTTATGCCAAATTTAAAGAATTTTACCGTTTCTGTTCCTCATAAAGGAGGTTAACCCGGCAAATACTCTAATGTAAACATATTATAAGAAAGCTATAATGATAATTGGACAATACATTTCGAAGAAATGACGTCGACATTCAAAAAAGCAAAATTACCAGCTATTTGTTTAGGAATTTTAAGAAAACTATAAGATCTTCTGTTTACGAAAGAGACACGAAGAAAACCAACAACATATTTGTCACAAGGCCGGTCAAAATTAAAGACGGCGCCAATTTTGTTCACTCTTGTGAATTGTTATTATCGATTAGTAGCGGCGGTAACGCAAATGTATGACAATTGGAAATGAAAACAGCTGATTTTGGCTTCTGTTCGTTAGTCGATTGTGAAATTTTGGCGGGTTTAAATGCGAAAAAACGGAAACGGTCTGTTAAGAAAAAAATTGAATTAATATTTACCGGAAAAGGCACAAAAACTCGGTTGCAGAGAAGAAAAAAATGAAAACGGATTAGCTATGAATGAATTGTCATTAGCCACAATGGGTTTTGGATGGAATATCACAATAGAATGGCCGCAAAATCCTACAAATTAATGTGAACTCGGTTAAAAAAGCGTGTAGGTATAGGAATCGGCGTTCTTATACAGAAGGAATCTTTAACCTTATGACAGCAAACGGTAACAAATATATTCCTTTACGCCCGTGTCGAAACATTAAATGTGTGCCTATTTTGTGTTCGGTTATTTCCGCGGTATCGCGTTTATATGGTTGTCGTTCGAGGTCGCGTGCGGGTGCCTCAAAAAATGCAACAAAGCGATGAGTGAAAGTGATCAAATTTGCACAAAAAACAAGTAAGAAGGTAATTTTATATACCTAACCTAAATTTGTTCAGTTCACTTGAAAAACTAATTTTGTTTCTATTATGGCTTAGGAGCTGGACTATATTTGTTTCAACCAACAAACTGTCAATAACAGTCTCTAAAAAATAAGAACTATGAACTAAATTCCAATTGCCTTGTGCATCAAAAAGGCTCGAGTGGATTGGTGTCAAGTCGTCGTATAAATTCCATTAAGAAGATGAATCTGAATCCAATTGGATATTTGGCGAAATTCCTTTATGGTCGTGCCGAAATATTGAGTTTGTATCTGTTTTGTGTTAAGTTATTTCCGTGGTGTCGGTTTCGTTCGACGTTGCTTGGTATTAGATTATTCGACTAAAAATATGCAATATGATTTGGAGAAACTGATCAAATCTCCATGGAAATCAAAGAGGAAGGTAAGATCATTAACCTTGTCTAATTTATTCACTTGACTTCAAAAACTAATTTTTCTCTTTTCTTTTAGGGGCAAGGCTACAATGGTTGAAACCAACATTCAGCCAGTCTTGGATAAATAAGAGCTATGAAGTAAATTCCAATAGTTATCCTGCAAGAGCAATTTTCGTGTGCATCAAAAAGTATTCGGTGGATTGGTGCCAAGTCAACATTTAAAGACTATGAAGAAACTGAATCTAGTTCTCTGCAAAATCGATCATAAATTTAAATGTCCTTAAAATATTAACAATCAGTTAAGGAAGTAAGTGCTTCCTTATCGAAAGCAAATGTACTAATATAATCGTAATAGAACTGATCTTAATCTTTGCAAAATGTCAACAAATCTTAAAATACTCACGATATTCCTTTACGTTCGTATCAAAATGTTAAGCGTGTGTGCCTATTTCGCGTTCGGTTATTTTCGTAGTGTCGCGTTTATTTCGTGTTCTCATCGGACAAAAAACTAAATAAAAAAGGTAAGTTTATTACTCTAACCTAGTTTGTTAAGTTGGCTTGAAGAACTAATTTTGCTTTTTTTCCTTAGTTAGGGGCCGAGCTACAATGGACGATTTCTACAAAGTCTCTGATACAAAAAAACTATAATATAAATTCTTGCAAATTTCGTTAAAGAGTAATTTCCTTCTGCATGGAAAAGGCTTCGGTGAGTTGGTGTCAAGTCATAATTTAAATTTCTTGTCTATAAACTGAATCATCAGATTAAGTTCCCATCAAAATGGAAAAAATTAATTTTAACAAGGTAGACATTGTATATTTGAATCCCATTCAAAACTTCTAATGACGTCACAAGAAACCTCAAACAAAATTAAAATCTCATAAGAATGGACCATGATCAATAAGTATATTTTCTAATCGTAACAATCCCTGGAAAATCGAATTTAAATATGAATTTCAACAATGTAAACAATTACATATTGAAGGCTGCTCACAAGACCTTGCTTCTCAAAAACACTAATGACATCACAAAAAAACTTCAACATAAAAATTTACAAGCTCCGCATAAGAATTGTGATCTTTAAAGCATATTTTTTAAAGCCATAAACGTTTGAACTTTCGTCGTGAATATGTACAATCGTGTTGGAAAACAAAAGATTTACTTTTTCGGCAATACAAATTATGGCGAGTTATAACTGAAAACTCCTCATCGACATGAATTCCAATTGGATTATTCCATCATCATAGTTTAACGTCCATACTAAAATGAAGTTGATTTCAATTGGATTCTGTATATCGAATCACCAGATTAATTTTAACAATGCTCCTCATAAGAATGGATCAAGAATGAGCCTACTCTCCAATCGGTAAACGTTTGGATTTCTCTCATGAATATGTAGAATTATGTTAGAAAACAACAGCTACAGTTTTCGGGTATATAAAAAATGGAGTTCGATGAAACAGGAACCTTCTTATCGATCTATACATTTTTGTTTCAATTGGATCCTTATGATGTCGAGGGATAAGAGAAAATTTCCATTTTAAATTTTAAATAAGAAAATAGCAAAAGGAGTTCTCATAGTAAGAGTAAATGAATAATTTTCTGTCTTCGAAATTGGACGTTGCAATACGGATGCATACATGTGAAAAGACAGGTCAGTGCGTTAATTTATAAATTACAATCATACCAATTAACTTTCTTATTTTTATCTTTCTTTACAGGATTTAAAACAGGTAAGACATTTTTTGCTTATATTTGCGTGCAATCTCATAAGCTCTCAAATTTGCGAATACTATTAGGAATTATATGTGTATGTTTAAATATTTTCCCAGGACAATTTGCTATTTTTAACATACGCACAAACCTAAATATCCTTGGATTAAAAACACAGCGTACATGATTTTATTTCACTAGTTTATTGTTGTTGTTGTGGTTTTTGTTACTTTAGTTCATTTAACAAATTTTTGAAATGTGGAATTTTTTATTTTTATTTTTGTTTTCTGATCTTTGCTTACTATAATTTCTCTCTCTCTCTCTTCAATTCTTCAGTTTTGGATACAAAAATTCTTAATTAGTTCGCGTATTTTCTTGCTTTCCGTACGACCTTTAAGGTAATATTATTAATTTACTTGTTTTTATTTCTTCAATGAGTTTCTTTATAAAGACTTTAGGTTTGAGACCAATGCCATCAATATGCTTTAAGGGGTCGTAGAATCATTGACACAATTGTTGCAATGTCTAGGTCCAGCTTATATAAGTTTCAAGTCCCGTTTAATTTTTGATCACCTAGCAAACATATATCATGTTAATAATGCTGCGACAAAAGCTGATTCCTTTGATCATTTTATCTTTTGTTTCCTTTAAATTATGGCTCGTTTAGATACAATTCTTTTTCCAATTGCTAGTAGTTTTTTTTAAAGATATGTGCCAATACACACAATTCTGGTTTACATTAAATTAAATTGGTCCCAACAAGAAGTAGGATTTCAAATAGATGATTAAGCTTATAGTTACCTAAAGACTTTAGAGACTTAAATTATAAAACGTTTTTTCAAAATTTGTTGGGGATAGCCCAACTTAAACTTTTGCCCAGTAAAAGTAATTGTGGATCGATCTATTTTAAAAGAAACATTTAGTACGTCTTTGCACAAAAATGTCCTTTTATTAAAATTAGAATGAATCAATTGTTTAATCTGTCGTTATAAATACATAAAGTAGCCATTTTCTTTTTTTAGTTTTCAACAAAAATTATATATAGAAGTTTTGAATACGAGATGACCTATCAGTAATTTGAGTAAAGAAGTGCTGCTGTTTTTTCAGTTCAGTGAGTTTTAAGTGAACATAATATACATCACCTTTTCGAAATTTAGGGATTTCCAAACTCATTTTTGGGACCAATTCTTTTTCTGTAAACCACCTACAAGAGACTGGATTGATATACATATATTTTAGGTTTGTTTTTTGTTTTTATTTCGGAATATTTGTTGTTGGTTTCTCTTTTGTTTAGTTTCTCTAAATCTAAAAATTATTGAAAATAATAATAAACCTAATTGATGTTTTCACATTCTTCTTTTTGTTAAATCTACACAAAAAATTAACATTAAATATATTTATATATAATATATATATATATATATGTATAATAATATTTTATGTATGTATACGTATTGGTTTCGTTTGTTTGTTTTTTTGTTTTTGTATTGTTTACTTAAAAATGCATACAATTATTAAAATAATCTCTAAACTATACACAAAAAAAGCTTGAAGCCTTCTAACAATCTCTCCATTTATGTTTTGGGTTTTTGTTTTTCTCCATATTGGGGGAGGGGGACTCTTTCGATTTTATTTTCCTTTATTGGGAATTCGGTTATTCTTAAAAAAATATAATCAAATTATACTGTATGTATTTTTCTTTATTTATGTATGTAGATCATCATCGCCGTCTCGAATAAAAAAATTATTTTTTTCTCAGATTTTTCTTTTCAAAATTTTCACTCTAATTTGTTTGGGTTTACGATTTGTTTGTTTGTTTTTTTCTTTTGATATTTTATCAAAAATGTTGCTTTTTAATTTCCAATGTTTTTGTTTTGTTCTGTCTCCAAATTTCAAACTTGGACTTCATACTCCTCACACATTCACATTCACTTGGCTGGCTGTCTGGTGTTTCAGTGTTCACTCGCTTACTTGGGTAGTTCATAAAATTGGACGGGAAGCGCTTTGGGTGTGATAATTTCATCATCGAAGTCTTCATCATGTATGGAATAATCGCCACCACCTCCTCCGCCACCGTTATTGGTACCACCGCTCTGTTCGAATTCATTGGGTACAATTTCAACATCGGTGGGTGTGCCCAATGTCGATGAACGTCCATTGTTATTGCCACCGGCATAATTTGTCCGCGACTTATGTTTGATGACATATTCGCGCAGCAAATGCGAGTAGAGTATATCGTCGATATAGAACATTGTGCCCAAATTATAAACGAATACCTCACTTTCGATTATTTTGGCATTGTTAACACTGGTCGCATTACTTCCAGGATTTCGTGTTATTTTAATATGGCCACCACCTATCGTCTCGAAGACTTCATTATCCTTCAGATCACGATTGTACAGACGTCCCTTGACAAAATGATTCAGCAGCATTTTAACACCTCGTTGGGAGGCCTGCGAATATAAGATAAAGGAATTGTTAGCGATATATTTTTTTTTTCAGGGAGCAACAATTGCAGATTTTTTTTCAAGATTAAAAAAATATATATTTTTTCCAAGGACAAAAAAGTGGATTTTTTAAAAATATTTTTTTTTGTCCAAGGAACAACAGAAACATAATTTTTTTAAAGAACAACAGAAATGTGAATTTTTTAAATAATAGTTTTTCAAGGACTAACAGAAACATGGCTTTTTAAGGAATTTTTTTCAAGGATAAATAGAAACGTGGATTTCTTTGAAGAATATTTTTTCAAGGACCAACAGACAAACGTGGATTTTTTAAAGAATATATTTTCAGGGACTAACAGAAACATGGCTTTTTAAGGAATATTTTTTCAAGGATAAATAGAAACGTGGACTTCTTTGAAGAATATGGTTTCAAGGACCAACAGACAAACGTGGATTTTTTAAAGAATATTTTTGAAAAGGACCAACAGAAACTTGGATTTGTTAATGAATATTTTTGAAAAGGGCCAACAGAAACGTGTATTTTTTTAAAGAATTTTTTTGAAAAGGTCCAACAGAAATGTGGATTTTTTAAAGAATTTTTTTGAAAAGGACCAACAGAAACGTGGATTTTTTTAAAGAATTATTTTGAAAAGGACCAACAGAAACGTGGATTTTTTAAAGAATATTTTTTTCAAGGACCAACAGAAACGTGGATTTGTTAAAGAATATTTTTGAAAAGGACCAACAGAAACGTGGATTTTTTAAAGAATATTTTTGAAAAGGACCAACAGAAACGTGGATTTTTTTTTTAAAGAATATTTTTGAAAAGGACCAACAGAAACGTGGATTTTTTAAAGAATATTTTTGAAAAGGACCAACAGAAACGTGGATTTTTTAAAGAATATTTTTGAAAAGGACCAATAGAAAGGTGGATTTTTTTTTTAAAGAATATTTTGAAAAGGACCAACAGAAACGTGGATTTTTTAAAGAATATTTTTGAAAAGGACCAACAGAAACGTGGATTTTTTAAAGAATATTTTTGAAAAGGACCAACAGAAACGTGGATTTTTTAAAGAATATTTTTGAAAAGGACCAACAGAAACGTGGATTTTTTAAAGAATATAATTTTAAGACTTACAGAAACGTCGATTTTTTAAAGAATAATTTTTCAAGGACCAACATAAACGTGGATTTTTTAAGGAATTATTTTTCAAGGACCAACAGAAACATGCATTTTTTTAAAGAGTATTTGAATTTTTTAAAGAATATTTTTCCAAGGACCAACAGAAACTTGGATTTTTTAAAGAATATGTTTTCAAGGACCAACGGAAACGTGGATATTTTTAAAGAATATTTTTTCAAGGACCAACAGAAAAGTGAATTTTTTAATGAATATTTTTCCAAAAACCAACAGGAACGTGGATTTTTTAAAGAATATTTTTTCATGGACCAACAGAAACTTGGATTTTTTAAAGAATATGTTTTCAAGGACCAACGGAAACGTGGATATTTTTTAAAAATATTTTTTTAAGGACCAACAGAAACGTGGATTTTTTAGAGAATATTTTTGAAAAGGACAACCAGAAACGTAGATTTTTAAAGAATATTTTTTTCAAGGACAACCATAAAAATTTTCAAGGATCAACAGTAACGTAGATTTTTTAAGAAAACATTTTAAAAGACCATCAGTTTTTAAAAAAAAAAAATTTCAAGGACCACCTGAAACATAGATTTAAAAAAAAAAACATTTTGAAAGACCACCACTTTTTTAAAGAAAAAATTTCAAGGACCACCTGAAACATAGATTTTTTAATGAAAACATTTTGAAAGTCTACCAGAAACGTAGGTTTTTTAAAGAAAAAAATTTCAAGGACCACCAGAAACGTAGATTTTTTTCCTTCTCTATTGAAACGTATTCCAATGTTTTACATTTTGAAATTGAGACATTTATCTTACCATAACATCATCACTCAGCTTATCGAAGCCCAATCTCTCAAAGGCTTTATCGTCTGGAACAAAGAATGTGTAATTGGCTCCGGATACATGTGGTGCAATTTCAGCATTGTTTAAAAACCTGTAAACAAACAGAGTGAAAGTCATAAATCAAAGCGAAGTACAAACCCAATAGGCATAGCAAAATAACCAACCAAACAAATGCCTACCTTGTAATTTGTGTAAATCTAGGATCTCGTTCCAGCGCCAGGAAAGAATGTGACAAAAATTGTGCCCCAAACCAAGGGAAAGCCAACAGCGGTGGTGTCTCTTTGTCCTTGTGCATCTGTGTAGAGCGAACAAAAATAAAAACGAAACAAATACATTTACAGCATTAATCTTTGCCACACCATTTGTAATGCTCACACACCATTTACCTGATGTAGTTTGGAGACTACCGCTTCGGAGACAAACAAAACTTCGGTTATGATAAACACTTGATTGCCATTGGACAATGTGTAATCGGACATTATGGAAACATTGTTGACATTCGGTGCAGCTAAAAATTAGAGGGGGTAATAAATTAAGGATTAGAGTTACCGTTTTTGTTTTTTGAGCAAATAATGGAAGAAGAAATGTGAGTACAAGGTGGAGATTGAAAGTTTTGCACAGTGTTTCAAAATAAGAAAAAATTAAAATATAGTAAAAATGGGAAAATTTGATCTGAGTTTGACCTATGACCTCTGAGAAAAAAAAGCCTCTCATAGGGTAAGTGTACCAGTAGTCGGCACTTTTAGGATTTTCGTGTTTGTAATCGCTCACCATTCTGAGTGGAACTTTTCAATTATTACAAAGTTAATTTATTCAGATTTGAAATTTTGTATAGTTTTTGCAATAATAAATAAAGTTTTAATAACCTTTTATTAAATTTCATAAATTTGTAGTTTTATTAAAACAATGCTTTTTTGCCAGTAGTCGGCACCACTTGCCAATTGTCTGTATGGCATGTTGCAACAGTCGGCATACCAATTTTTTTGTAAGAATAATTAATGATAATAATAAATTAATTCATAAAAATATAATATTTTTGTTTAGTTAAACTGATTCGACGTCTTTACTGTACTTTTCTTAAGAATATGGATTGTTGAGGACTTTCACATACAGAAATTTAATTTTTATTAGAATAAATCATCTTTTCTTAGCGAAATTGTACACAAAGATAGCTGACAATATATTTTAAGTAAACAAAATATATTTAGGTATAAAAGTTTCATTTATTTGGGCTTAAAATAAAAAGTGCCGACTACTGGGACATGCCGAACTTAGGCACACTTACCCTATATGCATTCTAATTTTTGGTATAAATTACAAATATAGTTTCATTGCCGTTCTGCTCCACGTTTTGCAATAGGCTTATATGCTACAGGCGTATATTTTTAGGAAAAATTGTCAAAATAAATCCATTTGAAGTACAGGTCCAGGTTTTGCTATAATGCCTATATTAAATTCGAAGTTTTAAGGAAATATTACAAATATGTGTCCATGATCCGTTGACATTGCAGGTTAACATACTGTTGAAGCCCAATATAAATGTCCCCATTTTTATACCCTCCAGCATAGTTTGGAGGGTATTATAAGGTTGTCATTCCATTTATAACACCTCGAAATATACATTTTAGAACCCACAATGTACATATTCTGTATCAGCATAAAATTCTATGTCGATTCAACGATGACCGTCCGTATATCTGTCTTCCGAACGAATTGAAGTAGGTTTATAAAATTTCACATAAATGTATGTTTGGTCTGCAGGATTTTTGGTATTGAAAATGGGTTATATATGTCCACGTTTAGCTATAGCCCCCACATAAGAGTACCTCCTTATATTCGGTACTTTGATGATTTTAGCGACATTTTTCTCCTGAATTGTTTCAAATTTCGTAATAATAGTTGGCAATGGGTACTACAGCCTGCGGCAACAAATTGGCTATTCAGATCCAGGTCTTCGTATGGCCCCCATATGACTGTATCTCCCCATATTCGGTTTTTGGTAATTTTATACACATTATTCTACGGAATTTTTTTCAAATTTCGTATTTTAAGTTCCTAATGGGTTCTTCAGCCTACGATAGAAAAATTGCCTATGAAGGTCCAGGTCTTCGGATATCCCTTAAATATCGGTACCTCTTTATATTCGGTATTTTGATGATATTGGCGACATTAATAACCCGAATTGTTTAAAATTTCGTATTTTAAGTTCGTAATGAGTACTACAACCTACGATAGAAAATTGCTTATGCAGGTCCAGGTCTTCAGATAGTCCCTAAATATCGGTACCTCTTCATATTCGGTATTTTGCTGATTTCAGAAACATTATTCACCGGAATGGTTTTAAATGTCGTATTTGAAATGCCTAATGGGTACTACGGCCTACGACAGAAAATTGTCTATGCACTTCCAGGTCTTCGTATAGCGGATTCTATTTTTTATTTATTTATTTTTTAAATAGGTTATAAAGATTATATGGGAGCACAGGTCCATGATTTGCTGCAGGCCATTAAAATTATGAAAATTTCCAAAAAGGACCCCATTTTCAATGGTCCCTTTTAAGGTCCCATATGCAAAAACATTTTCAATATAGATCTTTTAGATGTACAGGTCAATTTTTAGTAAAAATTACGAATACTCACTAAAGCCCCCCCAATTTGATGAAAATCTTTGATATAGATCTTTTACCTGTACAGGTCCAAGTTGCTTTAATTAGGTTTTCGTCTCACTATAGCTCTACGCAAATACAACCTTTTTGAGAAAATTTGTTTGTGAAGGAAGCCTCGTTAAAAATGACGTATACCATGTTTTGCGGCAGCAGCATATGAAGATATTCTTCTTCAGAAAATTTAACAATATAAGTCCACGTTTTGCTGTAGCCTCTAAAGAAAGCAGTCTCCTTCAGAAAAAATGAATTTAGGACCATGTTTTGCACAGGTCCCATAGGAAGGAAGTATCCTTCAGCAAAATTGTCTACATAAGTCAATATTTTATTGCAGCGCTGTATTTTGCTGTAGTGCCGTATATCTTATTCAAAACAACTGTCAATATAGGTCAACGTTTTGGTAGTCCCCATGTGTAGGCAGTCTTCTGTGGCCCGATTAGAAGGCATTCTCCTTCAGAAATATTTTCTATACAAGTCTACGTTTTGTTGTAGCTGAAGGAAGTCTCGTTTCGAAAAATTATCAATATAGGTCCACGTTTCGCTGTAGTACCATTTAAGGCACTATCTTTCAAAATATCTCAATATGAAGGTAGTATCCTTCAAAAGCAGATGAAAAAATCTCCTTAAGAAATTTTTAATATTGGTTCACGGTTTGTCTTCTGGCGAAAAATACTCAAATTTGCCCATGTTTTACCGTAGCTCTTATACAAAATAGTACACTTCTTCAGAAATATTGTTGATTTGGGTTCCCGTTTTGCTGTAGCCCCCCGTGAGTGCAGCATACTGGAAAAGTGTTGCTAAAACAGATCCGGGCTTCCACCTTTAAAATTCCAATATGAATTAAACTTTTCTAAGGGCACCACCTTCTAACAAATTGTCAGTATATGCCCACATATTTCGCCAGAAAAAAATAATGCCCCAGGTTCAACTGTCGACCCACATTTCATTGAAGCCTCACATCGAGGCACCCTTTGTGAGAAATATAAACACACTATCCGTGCCAAAGATTATGTGCTTCACATAGGTCCATATCTACCAGTATTAAAATTTGAAAATTTTCCTCTTCTTTGACAGCAAATTGTTTAAGTTATTTCTTGCTTCATATAAAACCGTTTCTTCTCTAAGCCCTTGAACCACTGTGCACAGATTCACCTCCTCCATGTTAAAACTTTCCTTCAATGTTAAAACTTTTCTAACCCCTACTTTAAAATACTTACGTTGTCCCCTAAACACCACACTCTCTCCGCCCATGGTGCGCACCGCCATTTGATCCATATTCTTTACATCGGCCATACGCAACGGTTTCTGCATCGGTAGGAAATGATTGCGCAGCACACTCTCCGTAAACTCCTGCACACTGAACGGATAGAAGCCCCAATCGATGGGGTGCCAACGTTGAAAGGCATTGTCGGTGGGTATGAGAATGGTGAACGAGCCATCGTCCATTATTTGGGTGAGATTACTTTTCGAAAGGAAATGCTGGAAAACTTTTGTGCCACTTTTCATGCTGCCAAGAAATGACATTAGTGGGCTGGCCTTTGACTCCTTAAGGATCGGTTCGTTTTTGGTGTGGGCAATGTTGCCGGTGGAGTTGCGCATCTCCAAACGTTGTGGTTCATTGTAACGGCTGTAAGAGAGCGGACAAAAAAGAAAACGAAAGAAGTTAGACATTTTAGTACACAATAGGTATCCAAGTTGGTGACTTTCGCCACCCACCCGGCAGCTACTTGAAAGGAATTGAGTTGAGAAACTTATTCTAGATAAAAATACGGAAGTTTAAAGTAGTTGCCTGAGGAGAAGACAGTTTATTTATGGTTCGAGTATTTGTTTGTTTTTCCGTTTTGCAGTTTTCTGGGAAGTTTTAAAAGACCACAGTGTTTAAACTTTTAAGGGCAGAGTTTTGATCAACTAGAACGAAATGTTTAACCCTTCACGAAAGATTACAAATCGAGGTATTAAAGTTAAGTCAAATTCGGTTGAAATTGAGGCAGTTTCGTTTGGACGAAATAGTAAAGACACACTGACAATCTTTTATTGAAATACCTGAAGAAGGTCTTCGATCCATGTAAGTCCGAAGAATAACCCTTTGCCCACAGAAGATCTAAAATATGTCTTCTACCTATAGAAGACCCGGTCAAATGACTGAAGAAGGTCTTCTGTCCATAGAAGTTTTAAATAAGGTCTTTTGTCTTTAGAAGGACTGTAAAATATATTGTATCTCTTGAAGACCTGAAGAACTTCTGTATATAGAAGACCTGAAGAAGGTCTTCTGTTTAAAGAAGACCTGAAGAAAGACTTCTGTCTAAAGAGACCTGAAGATAGTCTTGTTTTAAAAGAAGACCTGAATATATTTTTACAATAGAAGACCTAAAGAAGGGGTTCCATCTAAAGAAGGCCCTTCTAGCTATAGAAGACCCAGTCTAAATTCTCCTGTTTATCGAAGACCTGAAGAAGGTCTTCTGTCTATAGAAGGTCTTCTGTCTTTAGAAGACCTGAGGAATGACTTCTGTCTAAAGAGGATCTGAAGAGAGTCTTCCTTTAAAAGAATACCTGAAGAACGTTTTACAATAGAAGACCTAAAGTAGGGAATCCATCTAAAAAAGACTTGAAGAATGCATTTCGTCTATAGAGGACCTGAAGAAGGTCTTCTCTCTCTAGAAGTTCTGAAGAAGGTCTTCTGTCTATAGAAGACCTGAGGAAGGTCTTATTTCTGTAGAAGACCTGAGGAATGTCTTCTGTCTGTAGAAGACATGGGGAAGGTATTCCTTCTATTAAATAGCTGAAGAAGGTATTTCGTCTATAAGATTTAGAAGATTTTCCCTTTGTAGAATACCAAAAGAAGGTATTCCAGAACCTGTAGAGATTTTTCGCTTATAGAAGACCTGAGAAGGTCTTCTGTCTGTAAAAGATCTGAAGAAGAAAAATTTCCATTTATAGAATACGTGAAAAAAAATTGGTCTCTAGAAACCCTGAAGAACATCTTCTATCTATAGGAGACCTTTATAAGGTGTTCCATCTATGGAAGATTGGAAGAAAGTCTTCTGGCAGAACTGTATAAGGTTTTTTGTTTTGAAAAAGCCCTGAAAATGTCTTCTGTCTATAGAAGGCCTGAAGAAGGCATTCTTTCTATAGCACCTGTAGAAGATTTTCCGTTTATAGAAGACCTGGAAAAGATATTTTGTCCCTAGAAGCCCTGAAAAAGGTTTTCTGTCTTAGAAGACCTGAAGAATGGGTTCCATCTATGGAAAACTGGAAAAATGTCTTCCGGCAGAATTGTATAAGGTCTACTGTCTTGAAGAAGACCTGAATAAGGTATTCCGTCTTCAGAAGATCCGGGGAAGGTTTTCTGTCTTTCAGAAGAACTGAAGAAGATATTCTGTCTTCAGAAGAACTGAAGGAGACATTCTGTCTTCAGAAGACCTTAGTACTTGAAGAAGACTGGAAAAAGGTCTTATGTCTGACCTGATGAACGTCTGTTTACAGACAACTTGAGATCCCCTTTCCCTATTGGAGGTAACATTGATCTTATCATGAAACCTCCAGGGGTAATGAAAGGCCGGTTGGACACCTGTAGATCTTCTTTAAGAAGCTTGGTTAATCATCCAGAGGAATATTTACTAGTCTTCAAAAAGGAACCCCGATAGGTTAGCTATTGGGAGACTGTATGTCTTTCATGAGAAATATGTTGTATCGAGCACTTCTTGTCGTACTATTGCAAATGAACCTCTAGCCATAACAACAAATTGGGTCAAAAAATTGCCATAAAACACCCCCACAAAAAAACTGCAAAAAACTTCTCTTCAATTCCCCCAAAAAGTTGTGTTTTTTTATTGGTTTTCTTTAACATTTCTATAACAAACCTCCTACATATAACAAACAAACAACAAATAAATTACACCCACACTTACCTACTACTGCCCTCCTGGATGTTCCGCTTCGAATACGGTGACTTTCGATCGCCCAAATACCCATCGATGGCCAATGCAATTAAATTATCATTGATGCGGACACGATGCAATATCTGGAAGCCATTCAACAGCCAGACCACATTGTTTGGTGATTTTTCCAATTTGCGAAAGACAATCTTATGGCCATTACCATTGCCGTATGACGATGAGGACGACGACGACGACGATGATGATGCCGCTGCTGAATCTTCGTCGGCATAATTATCGAATGCCCGACCCGGTACCATATGTTCCAGCATGAACTCTTTGAGACGTGGCTTCTCAATGGTGCGTACATCAATTTTTGGTATAATTAAAGTAAATGGTATATCTGGAAAGAAGAGAGAAAGAGAAAAAGGAAATTACATCATTATGCTACTCATTATCCTTGTCATCGTCCTTATTGTTGGACAATGAAGTGGACAATTGCACTTAAGAAAAGCTAATTGGAAATTAATTTCGCTCTTAAATGAGTTTCGAGCTTTTTTCCTTAATGAATGATGGAAATAATAATCAATTTTTATTAAATGTAATTGCGTTCTTAAGGAGTGATTTTATTTTCCTAATAAGTTATTAATTTGTACTTTTTTAACGAAATCCCATTATTTACATTCCAGTAAAAATATATTAATTTTGAAGTTCTTCAACAAACATACATTCGATGGGCTTATATTTATTCAGGTACTCATGATTGTCTAGGAAGTTGATTAATATTTGAGGAAGCTATGTTAGCTGTCTCTTAATTCGTATAATTAGAGGCTATCGACAAATTCTTATCTATCTACCGAAATAAATTAGTGAGATCAAGGATCATGGGACTCACTGTTTGTCTCTCTTTTTTATACCCTAATACCCATGCGTTAGGGGTATTAGTATAGTATAAGTTTGATTGGGTCAAAAATATTGTAACACCTCGAAATAGTGGTCCTAGATCCACCATGTTATATCTAGATCTTCCTATCTGGCTTCCTAGCCAAATGAGCCCGTCTGTCCATGTAAAATGTTACAGATCCAATTATAGTCTGATCCCTATGAAATTTTGCATGGAGCTAGGTTAGGGTCAGAATAGAAGCCAAGGCGGAGATGATCGCAGAATATTAGGTGAATGACATGGAAACCGTTATTTTTTTTGATTTTGCAGTCGTTCTAATTTGTCACAACTATAGACCGATCGTTGCATAATTGTTCGCAAGGTTACAGTTTAAGGCAGAGCAGAAGCCTGTCATCATTATATACCGGGAGAAAAGGACCATAATTTTTGGATCCTACCGCGAATATTTTTATACCGAAATCAACTTCCGACGAAATCACAAGTGGCACATCTGACCTTTTAATTAATGCTGGTTTCGTAGGCTTATATAGTCTAAAATCGAAGATATAGCAATGTATGCAAATGAATCTAAATTTTCAAATTTTGTTTCGAATTCCCACAACAACGAATTTGGAATTGTCTTGTGGTAAGCAGATCAACGTCTTCGTATAGCTCCTACATAACGATCCCTTCCATTATACGGTATTTTGATAATTTTAGCGACATAATTAACCGAAATGTTTTAAATTTCAACGTTCAAAATCAACGTGTGCTGTAGCCCCATATAACGGTATTTTGATAATTTTAGCGACATTTTTACTGGAATTGTTTCAAATTTTGTACTCGAAGTTCGTAATGTGTACTACAGCCTGTGGCAAAAAAATTACTTATAAAAGAATACGACTTCGTATAGCCCCCATATAAGGGTTATCATTTGAAAAGTATTTTTCTACGTTTTTTTTTTTGAAAAATTTCAAGTTTCTTCAAAATGGTGCAGGGTATTACAATTTCGGCGTGGCCGAACTTAGCTGATTTTTTTACTTGTTTTCTTTTTTTAATTTATTAAGAAAGACATCTTTGCAATGAATCGAGGATTCTTTAAAGCTATCTTAAATGACTTTCTGGAAATAAATCTAGGATATTTTTTAAATATTTGTCGAGGACACCCTGACCAAGAATCGTGGATTTTTAAACATTTTTCAGGGATTTCCTGACCAAGTATCTTTGATTTTGGCCAAGAATCAAAGGTTTTTTTCAAATATTTGTCTACGACTCTCTGACCAAGTCGACCGATTTTCTAAAAATATTTCGCAAGGACTCCCCGGCCAAGAATTATGATATTTTTTAATTATTTCCAAGCCAAGAATCGCACATTTTTAATATTTGTCAATGACTTTGATAACTTCTTTCTGGCCAAGAACCTTGCCCAAAAATCATCAATCAATGTTATGGACTATATAAATCGTTGAATTCTAAATACATACAGGGTGAGATGAAAAAACTGCAACCAACTTCAAACTGCTGTCATTTCTAAGCCACTCGACCGACAACTGTTAAAATTATTCCAATGGCCGCTCATTATATTGTTTACAAGCGTACAAAAGCATTTTGGTGACAATTTTCCAGAAAAAAGTTATTCGTGATGGAATTCAAGCGTATAGTGTGATTTTTTATATTTGGCTGGAAAACCACAAGTGGCTATCGTTAGAGCACTCCAGCATTTAAATGTGAATAAATCTTTTGTGTCTCGTACCATCGCTCGTTACCGTGATACTGGTAGCGTAGCCCGACGTCAAGGGTGTGGATGGAAGAAAACAGCAACATCAACAGAAATGGTTTGAAAAGTAGAGTAGCGACTTGATCGAAAAATGTCTCGTGAGCTGAACATATCGCCATATTCCATTCGGCAAATATTGAAAGATGAGCTCGGGGTAAGTCATTAAAATTCCAAAAAATGCAAGAACTTACATCGCAACAGAAAGAAAATAGACTCAAAAGACCTAAAGAGTTGTTTCGCTTGGCTGAAGGTGGTGAACTGCCGAATTTGGTTTTCTCCGATGAGAGAACATTCGTTGTCCAGCAGTTTGTAACCAAACAAAATGATCGTGTTTACTTGCCAAAGAGGTCAGCTGAAAATGTGCACATTCGGGTGGCCGGCCACCAGAACTCAAGCGCCGGCCATGGTGATGGTGTGGGCCGCCATAACAGCCGATGGTCGCTCTCCGCTCGTATTAATCGACCGTGGCATTAGAATAAATACCGAATATTATCGGGAAAATATTGTGGAGGGTGTGCTAAAGCCTTGGGCACGCAAACATTTTGGCCGCAGACCTTGGACATTCCAACAGGACTCAGCATCATGGCACTCAGCACGCGCCACCCAAGAATAGTTACAAAATGACGTTTCTCGCTTCATTTCCAAAATTTCCGAATACCAATCCGTTGGACTATTGTATCTGGAGTATTTTGGAAAGCAAGGTTGGGACTAAAAATACCAAAGTGTCGATCACCTCAAGCAAGGGCATTGCCGGGAATGGGCCAAAATACCGCAGAGCAACATTCGGGCAGCGTGTGACGGTTTCATTGGCCGTTTGAAGGTCTTACATCGTGCCAAAGGTGACCAATTCGAAAAAATCTAGACTTTTTCTAAAATTTGATGATATTTCCGTTGTAGGGTATCCCATGGCCGACCCCGCCCTGTTAAAGCCATTGATTTTTTCTTTTGTTATGAATTTTGCATAAATATTCCGTAATTTTATTTAATCACGGGATTTTCAAAAATATTTATTGAGGACTGCCGGGTCTAAATCTTTGATTATAAAAAAAAATAATAGTCTTGAATTTCCGATTTTTTCGGAATTATTAAAAGGACATCCTTGTTAAAAATCAGGAACGTCTAAATTTTTCTTTTATCGGATATTCCGAAAAAATTTGATCATCTGGTGGCCAACAAAATCTTAAATTTTTTAAGAAGTTTAAGAATGCCCATATTCTGGTAAAATAAATCGGTTCTGAAAATGCCAGTATATATAAAAGTCGAGATTTTTTTTTTATTTTTTTGGTAGTTTTTTCTACTTTACAATGACATCCTTTTTTCAAGGATATACTGCCAAAAACAATTTGATTCCAAATGGACTGCATTTTGACACTTCCGTTGGAATTCAGCCTAAAAGCAAGTGCTTAAACTTTTGGTTAAAATCGGTGCAGATATAGCTATAGTTCTCATATATATGTTTCATCCGATTTTGGGTAGAAGTCCCTCACATGCGTAACATGCATTCTACAACAATGTTGTTTGACACAGGTCATCAGATATTGCTCGAAAATGCCTCTGCCAGATTTTATCGAGATTGGTTCAGATTTTTGTAAGGCTTCGATATACATCTTCATCCGATTTTATGGTTATTGCTCACCATATATGTAATATCAGCCTGAATTGAATAGATTTTTTCATATTCAACCGAATTTTATCATTTGGTGAAACTCCGTCCGGTATATCAATTGCTCCAATAAATATTTTTTAATTTAATCCTTATCGAGGTCATATCATGTACTATACAGCAATGTTATTTGGTTCATAGTTGGTATGATCTACTTCACATAAATTCTCAATATAAACTATTTTATTACGGAAGCTTTACTAAATACGCATAGTGGAGTGGGGTATCATATGGTCGATCCCGCCCGACTTTTGACCTTTCCTTATTGGTTATTGCTATTTCTGTAGTAAATATTTTTGCTCTTTAAAAAGAATTGATCTGTCAAATGTATAAGTCAGGCTACTTTTTATTAGTGCTTTGAAATTATAAGCTGAATCATGTGAAATCTCAAATTGGGTTAGGCATTTTTAAATTACTCATATCCCTATACGAAACCGCAAACATATGTGTGGTAATAATAAAATGAAATTTTAAATGATGGGGTTGTAAAAATATAATTTTTATGACTCGAAGGCTACCATTTGCCAAATCATGCAAAAAATCCGGTTGCTTGATTTAATTCTTCAAAAAAAAAAAAAAAAAAAAAAAAAAAAAATTCTCTGAGACAATTTTACAATAACTACGTGATAAAAATAAATGTTTATTCAAATCAATTATTGAAATTCATTCATTATATTTTTTTATAAATACACCCAACCCTTATATTTTTGTAAAGAATTTTCATTGGTTGTGGTCACTTTTTGCTGTCACATCCTTGCACAATTGCATGATTGGGCAATTTAATATTCAACTGGCCCAACATTTAATTCTTCATAACAACACCCATTATCATCATCATCATCATTATGATCGCATAATACCGTCGTCCGCCAACATTACATTTAAATGATAACATAATGTCTGATTGCCTTACGGTCAACAACAACTATTAGCTGCCCAAACTCACACCCCATCCATAATAGAAGTACGTGCCACATGAGGATTAGGCCAATTTAATTGCGGTTGGAGGAGGCATTGCTGTGATGGTCTTTGCTGGCTGCTTCTCAGTCTTTTCAAAACTTTAATTAATTATAATTCACA